CTGGGTCCTCTCTTCTCTCCTCTCTCTCTCTCTCTCTCTCTCTCTCTCTCTCTCTCTCTCTCTCTCTCTCTCTCTTCTCTCTCCTCTCTCTCTCCTCTCCTCCTCATCTCTTCCGCTTCTCTCTCGTTCCTCCTCTCTCTCCTCTCGTCTCTCTCTCTCTCTCTCGTTCTCGCTCCTCTCTCTCTCCTCTCTCTCTCTCTCTCTCTCTCTGCTCTCTCTCTCCTCTCTCTCTCTCTTCTCTCTCTCTCTCATCTCTCTTCTCTCTCTCTTCTCTCTCTCTCTCTCTGCTTCTCTCGCTCTCCTCTCTCTCTCTCGTCTACGTCCTCCTCTCCTCTCTGCTCTTCCTCTCCTCTCTTCTCTCTCTCTCTCTCTCTCTCTTCTCTCGTTCTCTCATCTCTCTCTACTCTCTCTCTCCTTCTCTCCTTCTCTCTCTCTCTCTCTCTCTCTCATTCTCTCCTTCTCTCTCTCTCCTCTCGCTCCTGTCTTTCTCCCTATCTCTCTCTCTTTCGCTCTCTCTCCTCTCTCTCTCTCCTCTCTCTCTCTCTCTCTCTCTCTTTCTCGTCCCATTTCCTCGTCTCTCTCTCTCTCTCTCTCTCTCTCGCCTGTCTTTCTCCTCTCCTCTCTCTCTCTCTCTCTCTCTCTCTCGTCTTCTCTCGCTCTCTCATTTCTGCTCTCCCTCTCTTCTCTTCTCTCTCTCTCTCATCTGCGCTCTCTCTCTCTCTCTCTCTCTCTCTCCTCATCGGCTCTGTCTTCTCTCGTTCGCTCTCGTCTCTCTCTCTCTCTCTCTCTCTCGTCTCTCTCTCTCTCTCTCTGCTCTCTCTCGCTCGTATCTTCTCGCTCCATCTCTCTCTCCTCTCTCTCTCTCTCTCTCTCTCTCTCTCTCTCTCGCTCTCTCTCTCCGCCCACTCTCCCCCCTCTCTCTCTCTCTCTCTCTCTCTCCCCATCTCTCCCCCCCCCTCTCATCCTCTCTCGCTCCCTCTTCCATCTCCCTCCCCTCCTCTCTCTCGCCTCCGTGTGATGCTGTGTCTGGCCTCTCTCTCTCTCGCTCTGTCTCTCCCATCTCTCTCTCTGCTCTCTCTCTCGCTCTCTGTCGCTCATCCCTCTCTCTCCCCACTCTCCCCCCCTCTCTCTCTTCTCTCGCTCCCTCTCCATCGCCCTCCCCCTCTCTTCTTCTCGCTCCAGTGTGAGTGCGTGTCTGTCTGTCTCTCTCTGTGTCCCTCTTTTCTCTCGCTTGCCTTTCTCATCGTCTTCGGTTGTTTTTACTCTCTCTCTCTCGCTCCTTACCCTCTCGCTCATGATCTGTCTGTCTCTCTCGTCTCTCTCCCCACACATCTCTCCTTTCTCCCTCCTCTCTTTTTCCCGTTCTCTTCTTCTTTCCCTCAACATCTCACACTTTGTTTCGCCCTCTCTCTCTCTCTCTCTCTCTCTCTCTCTCTCTTCTCTCTCTCTCCTCTCTCTCTCGTCTCTCTCTTCTCTAGCTCTCTTCTCTCGCTCTCTCTCTCTCTCGCTCTCTCTCTCTCTGCTTGTCTCTCTCTCTCTCTTCTCTCCCGCTCTCTCTCTCTCTCTTCTCTCTCTTCTCTCTCTCTCCTCTCTCTCTCTCTCTCTCTCTGCTCTGAATTTCTCTCCCCTCTCTCCCTCACTCTCACCTCTCTCTCATTCTCTCTCTCTCCAATTTTGTCTCATCCAGCCTTGTTTAGAGCCAATCTACTGAAGCCATTTGGATTCAAATGCTACCAACGCTGGATACGTGGGGATTATTTGACAACAACGTTTTCTTTGAGTCAATAACCTTCTCTCTCGCGTACAGTTGTTTTCATGGCGAGTATTTCCAACTCTTAACTATATATACAGGATTTAAGAATAAAGAATGACCTTGGCATCACTCCATGCCCTTCAAGAATCAGGAATTAGGACAAATTATGTTCATCTTTCACAATATTGTACTTGACATGTTTTGAAATTAACTGCTTATTGTTACGCATAACGGCAGAATAAATTGTTCAAATTTTCGAAATTTAATACAAACAAATGTCAGCAAAAAGTTGAATGAAAAAAAGGGATAAAATTGCAGACACATATTGCATAAATTGCACTGACACTACTGCCGCTGACTGACACAAATTGGTGTAATTATGCCCAGAAAGAACCAATTAGGAACTCAATGATCAATATCGGCAATCAACGGATTTGTTTCCAAATACGCACAGGAAAATTAGCGTAATTCTGTTGAGAACGGCATCACCACCATTAGGGCGGTTTTGCGCAGTGAAGTGCTTATTAACAAGGATCTGGTGCAAAACCGTTCACATGCAATTTGTTTCTAAACACGAGTTTTATGTCGAATAAATGCGAGCAGTGCAAGGATACTAATTACTAGTGAGTATGTTTTTCGCGTCCATCTATCCGCTCAACTGTGTGTATTGTCGTGACGTTCGTTTTCTCGCACCGCCTTCGAGAAAATTCAATTACGTTATTGTGTGTTAACTTTTTTCTCACACAGACAGCTTTTTTCGCGTTAATTTTTTAGGAGTGTTATTCGCAGGTGTTAGTTAAAGGTGCGATCGTTTCTATGTTCCTCAGCTTCCTGCGTTAGTAAATGTTGCACGCAATGACGTCAGCACACAACCGCCATTCAGCGCTAAAAAACCGATAAACATCGAAACAAAAAGCCTACATACTGTGAGCATGCTTGCAGTATGCGAACATCACAAAAAGCTCTTATTGAGTGAGAAATGTGCTCCGAAGTTCACTATTTTCATGCTATAATGTCGGTCAGAGTTTCGGCATACAGATACACATAGAGCGATGTGACTGAGAACGCTAACTGTAGGCCTACGCTAGCGCAAATAGTTCCTGGAAAGAAAACGCTATATTTGTTTGCTGACTGCATAAGTAATGTAGATAACATATGAATAATGATTTAAACAAATTTCACAATTTTGTACTGAACAAACATCGAATAATGAATTATAACTTCTTATAACCATAATTACCCCAGCCCTAACCCTAACCCTAACACGAACCCTAATTACCCTAACCCTAACCCTAACGCTAACACTAACGTAGCACGCTGATACACTCAGTATATACGCACCAGCTTGTGTGCGGAATGTCCACACGATGGTACCATAACCCTTACCCTAACCCTAACCCTAACACTAACACTAGCCCTAACCCTAACACTAACCTTATCCCTAACCTTAATGCTAACACTAACGTAGCACGCTAATACACTCAGTATATACGCACCAGATTGTGTGCGGAATGTCTACACGATGGTACCATAACCCTAACCCTAACCCTATTAACCCTAACACTAACCCTAACCATAACCCTAACACTAACCCTAACACTAACCCTAACCCTAACCCTATCACTAACCCTAACCCTAACCCTACACCTAACCCTAACGTAGCACGCTGATACACAGCTCCGTATATACGCACCAGCTTGTGTGCGGAATGTCCACACGCTGGTCTCCTCGCTCTCCCTATAGCTGCCATACTTGTTCTCAGCAACTATCATGACGTCATACTCGGTGTCCGGCCGCAGTCCCTTCAGCTCATACATCTCCTGGTGCATCCTTCCCTCGTTAGAGAGAGCCGGAGCGCGCTCCTCCATCCAGCGGTCTTCCTTCGTCTGCGAGAAAAGGAACAACATCAAAAACGGGCCGAGTTAACTATAACTATTACTTCTAACTGTAATAGTACAATAGAATAACGAGTTTTATTATTTTAATCATTTACAGTCGCGACATGGGATTTCTCGCCGAATCGAAATTTGGCGATAAAGAAATAACGATAAAGATTAATACTTTATAGACTCATTTTTTATGTAATTTGTTGTGTGTTTTGTAGCATTGTATTTGTTTTTAGTTGTTAGTTTTGTTTCGATGTTACAACGAACATTTAAAGCTAGCCCCCCCCCCATGCATCACTGCCATCACACGAAGTTGGTCGGTATAAGCAGTGACGTAGGAAACACTCGTTCCCTGCCGGATTTTTCTCGACTGCAATTGCGTTTCGCAACATTTAACGGTTTTTTTGCGACTGCGTATTTTGCTCTTCTTCTTCTCCTTCTTCTTCTTCTTCTTCTCGTTCTTCTTTTTCTTCTTCTTCTTCATCATCACCTTCTTCCTAATTATTCTTGTTCTTCCTAATTATTATTCTTTATTTAGTTTTTCTACTTCTTCTTCTACTTTTTCGTCGTCTTCTTCGTCTTCTTTATCATCACGAACCTCTTTGTTTTCTACTTCTTCGTCTATTTCTTCTTTTTTTATTAGTTCTTCTACTTCTTCTCTTCCTCCTCATCATACTTCGTCTTTCCCCAGCTTCGTTAACTCGGCAAAACGCAAAACAACCCATCGCGTGGCGTAGCGACAAGACACACACGCACGCATTCACGCATGCACGCACGCACGCACCCACGCACGCACGCACCCACGCACGCACGCAGGCACCCGAGCACGCACGTACACCCACACACACACACCCCCCCTGGTACAAATCCTGTACACGCCCCTGCCGAGCAAATTGCCAACATTGAAAAACGAACCCCCCCAATACAAAGCTGGCTACGGGCCTGTTATACGTAACAGAATATCTACAACACTGTGATGGTAACTTAGTTCAGTGATGGTACAAACAGGTAAATGGCATAAACAGTTTTATAAAGTAGTGCATATATGAGCGTACTAATTATACTTCGTTACAAGAGGTTCATAAATAAAGGTAAGCATAGTAGTAGCTGTAGACCTTGAGCATGAAAAGTACAATTTTACTAAACATCATGTAATGTTATATGACAAACATGTATATATCCTTATGAATTATAACTTGTTCTATCATAGAAAAGAACTGTTAACGAAAACTGTGATTGCTTGGCTATGTCCCGGATGTGTAATAATGAATAATGAATTATAACTTCTTCTTTTTTATAATGTCCTTTATTTCCAGAAACACATATGTACATTACATTATATTATACGTTATACAAAATATCTACAACACTGTGATAGATTGTACTAACTAAGTGATTGATATTTTTATTAATAAATATACGTAGAAACTATTGTATTAAATTGAAGATATTTTAAGTAAGGTATATGCATATAAATATCAAATTATATCTATGTTATATTTATTTTGTACATCATTGTATATAGTCTATCCAGTGTTTCATACATAAGAACATATTGCATATATACATATCAGGAGTGTATCAATACACTTGATACACTTGTATTGATACACTCCTGTACATATGTATACAGTATGGTATTGTATTGTAAAGTAATGTAACGTACGTAATGTTTTTGTAATTGTAACCTATCGTATGGTTTTTCAATGTGTCGTAATGTCGTATCACGTTATGTATTGTAAATATCATATATCATCATGTCTTGTAATGTCTTATGTAGTATAATGTCATATCATGGCATGTATTGTAACGTAATATATCGTCATGCATTGTAGGTAGTACGGTATTACGTCGGGTATTGTAATGGTTTGTATGTGTTGTAAACATCTGATCACGTCATGTATATGTAAATATCATATATCATCATGTATTGTAATGTCATACGTTTATAAAATTTGTCTAATCATAATGTGTTGTATTGCTTTATAATGTCATGTCATGCATAGTAATATAATATAATGTCGTGTATTGTACGTAGTACAACGTTGTGTATTGTGATGGATTGTGTGTGCTGTTGTCATCAGATCAAATCATGTATTGCTAATATCATTCAACATCGTGTCATGGAATGTAACAATTTATGTACTGTAACTATAGTGTATGGCTACCTCGATGACCGCAAGGTCTTTTCGCCATACCTGTGCATTATAATAACAATTAAAGTTATAACTGTTTAATTTTCCCACTGTCTGATTTATCCGTTTAGCACAAATAAAAATCTTGAAAATCTTGTAAACACTGTGTAAACATTGAAAGCACTAGTTTCGTACTGTTTTAGGTTTGCTGAAGAAATGTTATGAAAGTAGCAACACAAATGAGTTGTACTTGTAGTGAATTTTTACAACATAGACGAGCTCACAGTAGGTATACATATCTATGCATTTTGCTGCGAGAACATATGCCGTTTTAAAAGTCAACATAGAATACTCGACTTCACCGCTACTTTACTACTTTTTTTTCTACTTTCGGACCCTGACACTGGTAAGAATGGAGAGGTCGTTTGCTCCACGTTCCTACAGTTTACGGTTCCTACGTAAAATATATTATATATGCTGTTTACCAGTTTACGATCGATACAAATCTCAGTAACATTAATCAATCCATCCCTAAAAAGCACATTTAGTACTCCTGAAATGTAAAGTAGGTTTGAACACTGTTTCTCTCTACATCGCCACAGACACAAGTGGTGAAGTGACAGGCAGCCACGGGGCCAACAACAATAAAAGCTAGCTGAGCTCGTCTGACAGCTAGCGGTTCGCCAGGTAATGTTCACCTGCTTTTCACCTGCCCGCTACACAAAGCTACGGTCCTTCCTCCCTGCTACGGATTACTAATATCATCATTTAAATTTTTCCATGCGACAGTCGGTACCTCGTATGTTAATAGTTTACCGCCACTTTACGTCCGCGCGAACAGCGCGCCTATCACAATGTCAATAATCAATAGCATCCTTACCTGTCGCTCCCGCAATCAAGGCAGCAGCGCGACAATCAAGCGCACATAGCGGGACATAGCGATCGTAAACAAAACATTTCCACTTTCAAACGGAGTTGATACAAGTTTAGCGCCACCCGGTCGAAGGCGAGTAACGGAATTCCACGATCGTACTTACTTTGTGAAAAAGATCCGTCCATCCTGCATAACACCGTACGACCACGGGAACTGCAGAGGAGCCCGCAACAAGTCCGTCGCCATTTTACAAACTTTCTTTCTGAGTTTTGCGTTCGCAAGATGTTTCCGACGGTCACACTAGGCGGCGCTCGAATCGGAGAATAACTGATTTATGATTCGACGAGAATGTTTTTGCTTCGCTGGCGGCCAAAAATTAACCCACATCCGGGATGTTCATGTAAAGTTTACAAACACAAGTAAACTCATACGTGGCTGAAGATAATTTGTCCACTAAAAAACCGAACAATATTGTGAACTATGTTTTAATAACACATGGGACCAGCAAGAGAGATCATTCCAATACCTTAGTGAGACATAAGCTACCTTCTGCTGAAATCTTCAGGTGACCGACAGAGAAATTAGAGGCTACCGAACCGTAGCGTAGCTTAGCCTTAGGTACGTAACGTAGGACTGTGTGACAGACAGTGTGTGCACCTGGTCTGGAGTTGCAGTGCCAGTACCAGGGGTGCCAGTAGATACAATAATGTAACCAAACACAGGGGTAGGGGCCACCCCTACCCCTGTGTTTGGTTACATTATTGTATTTAGGGTGCCAGTGGCAGTGGCCGTGGCGCATTCCACTAGTAGTAGTAATATGATTTATCTGTAGACTGTAGGATTGGGTTCTGTCTGTACTACACATGACATGCGCCTAAAGTAAACAGAGGAATTGCTCCGACCGGTGATTGCAGGATAAAAATAGACCCCGCCCCATACGCTATTATGCTATGACCGGTAGGAACGTGTACTAACTATCATATGGAGCGAACGATTTGAGTTACATTTCTATAAATTCTAGCTATACTACTATACTAAAGAGTACTACGACTACTGGTACTGGTGTCATTTGATCAAAGCGATCCATGAATCATAACTAAATTGTTTTGTGCATGTTCACATGCAAGGTGAACATGCAAGGCATCAGTAAAAAACTTTTCTGTTTGTACTTCCTTCCTGATATCAGCACCTCGAGTGCTTTGGCATCTGAAGGTAATAAATAAATAACCGTGTATTTGCTATCAGCCATAAATAACATCTGCAATAAATACCTCAGTCTGCCGTCTTGACCAAAATTGTCACGGCTACCTTGATAACTTGAGTTCCACTTGATAACCCTCATCATATATTATGGAAGATTTAATATCAATGCTAAAATGATATTAAGCAGTAAATTAAGTGAAGTTAATATTACCACCTGTTCAAGTGACGCTGAGAGCCAGAGGGTCTATGTCCCCCAGGGTACTGCCGGAACGTACCCTGGTACTATCTAATATGCCGGACCGTACCTCGCCTACTCCACTAACGAGTCTAGGGAGTCGCCTACGCCTACTCCCTAAACCTAACCATATCAAATAGTTACCAGGGTACGTTCCGGCAGTACCCTGGGGGACATAGCCCCTATGAGCTCAAGTGACCTCCACTTGAGGTTGAGAGCTTTCAGGCACTATAGATTGTGCATGGGTATTTTGTACATAGTGTTTTTCACAAGTCAAACCCATCCTGCTGCATACAGTAAACACACGTTAGTTACACTGAGTGAATGCTAGCTTGAAGGTGTGAACTTGTTGAGTTAACGGCAACGTTGAGACCGTTGTAGTCCTTTGACCTGATTTACTTCGCGTATAAAACACGCTTGATCACACGTTTTATTAGCTTTGCGTGTTTCCATTATCTGGTCTGTCACTTCACCTTTTCCACAACATTTGGGAAAAACTGTGTTTACGACAACAGGTCCGCATTTGCTGATTGTGATCGATGATCTCTTGTAGATATGTATCGCAAATGTAGGAACAAATCGTGAAATAGTGATATCCTCAAGTAACCTAACACCTATAACAATGCTGCATTCAATATTTTTTCAAGCAGAAAGATAGAGAAATAAATTCAACCAGTGTTTTTGGCAAATAAAGTCTGCGTTAGACAATGTGACTTTTTGAAATCCGATCCTCCCTTTTTTCCTTTACAAAAGTAGATTGTTTAAAAAAAATTCATGTTAGACGATTCTTACATGCAGGCAATTCTTAAAAAGTGATGTTCAAAGTGACTCAAAGTGTATGCAGGGGAACACGGTTTTGCATGCTGGGGGTGGATTTTCTACAGACCCGACAGGCTTGCTAGTATTAGTAATGTGAGGCTTGAGCTATAAAATACAGGTAACGAGGCCGGCGTGGCCCCTTATGATTTCGACCCATGCGAAGGCTAGTGATTTTCGTTCTTCGTTGCAGGTACCGTGTTGTGGCGGGATGGCAGAAGGAGGCGGCGGCGGTGGCGGTGCAGGGTTCGACCCGTGTGAGTGTATATTCAGCCATGAGGGCGCCATGCGTCGACTCATCTCATTGGTAAGTCTCCTACATACATGTATATATATGCGTATATATATATATATATACTTGCTTACTATATCCCGTCTGTCTCGCAATGGGCAAAAGATTTTGGACCACCCATTGCGTGACAGACGGGATATAGTAAGCAAGTTTCATTTCCGCAATGGATAATATTTTTAACCTTATATATATATATGTGTGTGTGTGTGTGTGTGTGTGTATGCATATATATATGTGTGTGCGCATGTGCGTGTATATATGTGTGTATATTCGTGTATGTGTATATATATATATATATAGGGAATCCCAGCAGCACTCATGATTCTTGGCAATTCTACGTGGCAGTGTTTATGTAGAGGGTAGCACTGATAACGTGTGTCTGTTCATGTTGCAGCTCAGGAACACGCAGTCATATTGCTCAGACACGGAATGCTACCAAGAATGTGAGTGTAAATTACATTAAAGTCATTACGTAAATAGTAAAAGTAAAAAAATTATGTCTACTTTTTCACAAAATGCAAGTGATTCTGTTCACTTTTTATGGTTAAATTGCTGCATTATACTTCCTATTTTGCTATTCCGTTTGACGTGAACAAACACTCGTGACTCATACATAGCCCATAGCAAGCATTTAATGTCGTGATCAATATATCAAATCGCCCCGATTTTTTTGGATTTTTAAGTAGTTGAACAACAATCTTATCAGGTAAGAATTTGAGGATACATTTAGTGCCGTTAGTTCTTACTTTTCATGTAAAAAAAAATTGCAACAAAAATTTTACAAATTTACACCATAGAAAATTCGTGACGTAGTCAATTTAGTCGAGCAACAAGTACGAGTTGTATGATGAGTAAGTTCCAGCAGCAGAGCATCTCTGTTTGTAGTGACAAGGGAGAAATAAATCGGTCAAGCGTAATGTGGATAAAACTCAGGCCACGCGAGACTAGAGCGTTAGCATCATCGCCGTTGCCGTGGTTACGCAGTTCCAGGTCCCGAGGCCGGGAGCGAAGGTGGTTTCAGCATCGGGCTCATGCTGGTGATATGGATCGCCCTCGCTGTGGTCCTGTTCCTAGTGCGACCGTCCAGCATGCGACATCGTGGCGACGAAAAGCCCGCACCTGGGAACGAGGTACGGCCCGGACGCGAGCCAAACCCAATAAAACAAATTAACGAAAAAATTCACGAATTTGTAGTGATCCTGTGGAGCGGCCATGACACTAAATCTTCAAGCGCGACACAAGTAACTGTTAATAATAAATAAATACGAATAACCTAAATGAATGTTAGAAAGCCGTGATGTGGTGCACAGTCCGTTTCCTAACGTTGCAGGTGTTGGCGTTCGTTGCTGACTATTTCTTGTCACATTTCTTGTCGTTATGTATCCCCTCGAAGCCTTGCCGGCTACCCAGTACAAGCACACAGTGTGGAGTCTACCCTGGTCTCCTGTCCCAATACTATACTAGTGTGGATTGTTGTTGTTTTTCGGATTGCGGCATGGGAAAGCAGGAAAACATTCTCATTTTTCACCTCATTCCTTTGATTGATTTTTCTCATCTTCCTTTGACGTGCAGGAACCTACTAACGAACCACCCGCACCACCAATGCAATAAGTGCGTGCCAGACTCTCTCTCTCACCAGCGCGATCGATGGCATTCTCGTTCCTACACTCTGCAAACAAGATGGCGGATGCACAGTTGGCGAGGCCGCTTCAACAACTACATCGTTAATGATGCGGCCACCCCGGCTAATTACCACAAGGCTCTGATTAGTAACTACCGCATAAACACAGACTTATTTATATATCCAAATAGCGAATGCTCCCTCACTCTGTCGTGGTCGCCCAGTGATCATCCTAACACGTGGCTCCCTCTATATCGCGCAGCCCCCATCCGTGGTGTGGAGACGACCACGCACACACGCGTGTGTTAATCTCACACGCGTGTGAGTTAATCTCTGTGTAACATATCCATAGAGAAGCTTTGCAGGAATTCTGCAGTGAATTCTGCAGCGGCGGCGGCGGCGGTGGTGGTGGGGGGGTCGACTGCGTATTAATACACCGCTTGTGCCTTCAGCGCCGCCCTGGTGGAACGATGCACGCGTGCAGCTGCGATAAATCGTTAAAGTGGTTTATAGGTTGTCTCATGCGTGTGGTGTTCCATCAATGCGGCACGCACCCACCCTCGTCCGATGTATCGCTCGGGCAGTTGTGAGCTGACACTTGTAGTGGACAACATATATATATATATATATATATATATATATATATATATGGCTCAGCTGCTCGGTTAGAGCAGGTTTGGCGAATGCTGGGAAATTGCCGGAAATTTTGGCGTAAAATGCAGGGTGCGATTCTCGCCGCAATTGCCGACTTGATTATATGTCTGGTCTTATTATAATTGTCGGCACAAAATTTAGATGTGGTCAGTGAAACTGATCTCTGATATTTTCTTAATAATATTAATAACATATACAATTAACTCTATAACGTATATTGTGCTGTGTGTGTGGTGCGTGTGTCTGGTGTTGAGGGAGAGAGATAGGGAGAGAGAGAGAAAGGTGGAGTAGATCTGTAATCTATATCTTTGTCATGTGGATCCTAACTGTGATGGCTGCGCCACCATGGAAAAAGATGCCCAGTGCGACGGTCACAGAGTTGTGGCCGTGCGAGTCACAAACCGTCGTTGAGTGGTCTCCACATCATTTCACTTTATCGCGAAGTATGTGGATTAGTGATTTGTCGCCCTCTAGCTGCAGTATCACAATTGATTGGAGTTTCCAATGTTGTATGTTGTCAAGTTGGATGTGATAAATGTTGGATGTGGTCGAGTTGGATGTTTCAATGTGTTGATGTTGATCAATGTCGGTGTTGTCAAGTTGGATGTTGATCAATGTTGGATGTTGCGTCAATGTTGGATGTTGATCAATGTTGGATGTGATCAAGGTTGGACAAGTGGATGTTGATTCAATGTTGTGCGATGAATGCAATGGCAGCGACTGCGTTCGCGTGCTAACCGTGATGCCACGGTACGCCACCCATCTTATACAGAACGTGACATTCTGCTTAGATTGTCGCACAGCATCGTGCTGATACAGGGGTAGGCCTAGCTAACCCTGCGCTGCATGCTCACAGCCGTGTGGCGTATGCGGTCCAGTATGCGTGGTCGTGGGGTGCATTGTGACGCTGTTGTACACTCTCGTTTGTCGGCAATGTCGTGTGCGTGTTGCGCTCGCGTCTGTGCGGTGTAGCCATTGTGGTGTCAAAATTCTCCAGTATTTGTTCTTGCATCATTCGTGGACAGCGTATTACTTATTTTATAACTGCGTGTGTCGTGGTGCGGTCGTCCAGTGTTGCTAGGTCTCGAGGGCCGGTCCGCGGCACTCGCGCGCTCGAGGTCCGGCTCGATGCCCTACATACTAGGTACACAACTGTACATATTGTACACAGTTACTCAAGAATTAAAACTAAAGAACTCTTAGGTTTTCTAGATACACGGCTTAATCGTGTAACGTTTCAATGGCCTCGCTGTAAGATTCTTGTCCTTTTGGTTTGAAACCTCTCTCCTCACTTTGTCCCTTGCGCTTTTCTACCACTCTTCTCTTCTTCTTACCACTCGAA